GTGATATCTATATGACAAAACAAACAACTGTATGGTAGTAGAGAAGAAAAGAGAAAGAGAGAGAGAGAGAGAGAGAGAGAGAGAGAGAGAGAGAGAGAGAGAGAGAGAGAGAGAGAGTATACTAAGTAGAGAAAAATAAAAGAAATCCATAGCACGAGAAATAAATACATGAGAAAATACATTGTACAGGATAAATACATTTATTACGCAAACTGTTAGAGAAACTAAGTGACATTCAAAAAAGAAAATGCAAAATATAAAGGATCCTGGAGGTGTTGAGGGAGGGAGATAGGAGGACAGGGGAGGGAGGCGGGAGGTAGACAACCCCCTGTACCCCTCTTCTACCTGTGCACACCTTTAGTACCCATTATTGCCCACGTGTGCCTACTTTCAAAGCCTACTGCACCAAAGGCTGTATCAATATAAATGAAAAATAATGTGGGATATGTATGCATCTACATAATAAAACCTCCTTTAAACCCTCTATTAAACACAGGTTACTGTTATCGTTGCAGCGATAGTATCTAAGACTAAAAGGTGAAGAATGTAAACATGCTATAATGTAATTGCAAAATTTTTTCATAGTATGTACTTTCACATTGTAACCATGTCTATGATGTTTTTATTTACTATTGCAGGTTGTTGAAATAAGGATTAATTTGATGGAAACAAGGTTGGCTATTCTCAAGCCCTTAACATCAACATCTGGTCTCCTATGTTTGTTTGATCATGGCTGCAGGCTGGACTCCAATGGCCAGCTGTTTATGTGTAGTCACCAAGAGGAGCCAACGAGTACCGGTGCATATGAATTAACATTAAACAGCATAGCAGTAGTATTTCTACATGAATTTTCTTACATGAAATCCTGTACTTGAAAACAATTGCGATGGGTACAGTTAGCTTTTATCGGACTGGTATATATGTGCATTTATGCACCATACTGCTGTATTTCCTGGATTATCTGCTAGCAAAAAAAAAGAGCCCCCTCCACCCGGCCATCCCCCCACTCACCCTCCCACCACCACCACTGCGCTCGACGCATATCCATGATGAAATGTTAATATAGTGAAGTCATTAAAGTTACACAGGTGTATCTTTATTACTGTACTACCGGTATAGCAAAGCCTATCATAGATTTTAGATCTGTATTAGTAGTATCCTAGATATATGCTCCGAGCGCGAACGCGGTGGCAGGAGGGCGCACTTTATTCGGTTGCCAGTGAGTTTATCAGAAGAATACCCGGCTACAGTACACGTCAGTTGAGCGCTGTCGCTCTGCGGTACTTAATCTCGTAATATCTAAAGTCAAATAGGAAAAACTGTAACCCAAATAAAGTAATCTATTAGAAAATAATATAATTCAATTACAACTTTACCAATTTGTTTTGCTTATGATCTGTGATTGGTGTTTAAAACAGGAGCTACTGCAAGTATTGAGTGTAGCACAATGCCAGCTGATAAGGATTCTGCAGGGAACATTGGTAATAAGCTGAGAAGATTTCCTCTGGTTGCCATTGAGCCCTGGTACATTGCTCCCGAAGGAGCAAGTTTAGGCTGTAATCTCTCTATCAGGTATGATGCACAGTGTATGTTGCAGTTCAATAAAATTGAATTTGCTTCCTGGTTAAAGGGGCACATAGGTTCCTTGCATATTTTCAGTTAAAATAAGTATAAATTCTGCTAAATAAAAAATTCATTGGTAAATATTCATTAGAATTGTTTAAAAAAATGTTGGCTATACTGCAGGGGTAGAAATAAGGAGAAAAAAAGAGATGGTCCCCAGGACCATCTAGTTTGAAATTTAGATGGTCCTCCTAAATTTTAAATTGTTCTCTAAAAGTAATGCGGCGTGCAAGCGTAAGAAAGAGATTTAAATGGTGATAAAATGGTTTAATTATTCACCTACAATTAATGTATCAAACGATACAGTAATTGTTTATTCACTTTAATAGTATATTGGTTAATAAAGTTGTTTCAGTAGAATTTAGTTGAACCCATAACACTGGAATATAGTATGTCGCAAATATTTCTTAGAAGCACATTCATTCATTTAATACAGTTAACATTCTTTCAGTCAAGCAGTTAATTCAAGCAATTATAAGCCTTCTTGGCACACTCCATCATGTCCATCTTATCTAATATTTGTTCATCTTCCTCTTCAACATAATCTTCACTATCCTTGGAATATTGCACATGGAAACTTCAAAGAAAATTACTGAAAAATGTGACCAAAATATTCAATGGTCTGTCGGACCATTGACTTTGAAAATCTGATGGTCCTCCTGATTATTTGATGGTCCCGGACCATCGGACCATCGCTTATTTCGATCCCTGTACTGTTTGCTCACAACGATGGTGGCACCACTACAGGCGCACCCAATGATGCAGACCGAGGGTGTTTCTGATTTATAAAATTAGGAGGAGAAGGATTACGATATCTTATAAACCACTCTTAGTTTCAGTTATAATATGCACGAATTTGTCCTAACATGAAATTCATTCACTTAAATAGCAGTTAGGTATAAATATAGTTGCACTTTTGTGATTAACCCTTGGTCTGTAACGTGCAAAATAAATTGGCAGAAGCGCAACTTTGTCAGGGTGGCAGCGCAATCGTGCGGTGTCAGGCCGCAATTAAAAAATCTGTTTGCCCTCACCCGACCCAGGCTGAAATGTTTGGGTAGGTAGGTTGGCTTTTTTGTTGGGGTGGGGGGGGGGGTCTTTTTACAAATTCAGCATGGTGTCTACATGCTCGGGTGTGCTTGTGTGGATATACCTTTTATGTTGAATGTTTGTTTTGCTTGGTACATATAATGTATTGCCTGCAGATTTTGTACAGTCATACAATTTGTTAAAAAAGAAAGAAAGATCAATACAATTTTTTGAGTCGGCCCCCTTTTGGCGGGGCGGTCGGGTGAGGGCAAACAAACAATATTTTTATTATGGCCTTATGTCAAACTGTAGTCGTTGGTTTTAAAACATTTTTTTATAATATTTCTAATGGTGATTGAACCATGAAACTTTTTGCTAGCGTAATTTTTACCTAATTACTGAAAAACCCTAGGAACTGACGTAACGATCCCTTACCTAACCACTCACCTGCCAGTGAGCGCATATGCGAAACGTTTCTCGCACAGTTCGAGCTCTTGAATAAAAACTGTTGTTATTTATCTTTAGTTTAGTAGAAATCTGTAAAAGTAATCTGATCTGCTGCAGCTGCTGCTTTTGGGTAGTTGCTGACGTGGCCGTTCTACAGAGAAACCCATTCTAGCTGGTTTTCCAGGTTAAAACAATTGGCGCAGAATACCGGAAGGAGGCATACTTTCAGAAATCTTGCAGAAAACTACAGACGATCTCTCATTCCACCTGTGCAGACGTTTGTTAATTGTCAAATTTGAAATGTGGTTGGTATTTCATTAATATATATATTTTGCTCTCTGTGTGTGAGGCGCGCCGGGCCGGCTATATGAGGTCTGGATTCAATCAGAGTTCGTAGTGGGTCTTCTAAAGTCTTATAAGTACTTATTTTGCATAAAATAAAATAAGGGCCCTTATTTAGTACTTATTTTGGTGACACATCTTAGAAAAAGTTACTTAATAGCTCCTTATTTTTGGTGCAAGACGATTTTCAACATTGTTTTATACAACTGTTCTCGAACTGATAGAGTAAGATTGTTGTATTCATAATACGGAATAATTAATCTGTGTGCAAATTGTGTATCAATAATATTATTAGATGTACTTTTAATGCGGTGTGATCTATCAGAATACGCGTAAAATATCGTATTTGGCTCACAAAGGGTCTATATAAGTCTTATTTCAACAATGTGTCTTACTCTTACCCTGTCATTGATTATGGGAAACATGTTAGTTGTGTGGTCAGGAAGTACTTGGGTCAATTATGAACACATGTATGCGGTGTGGAAGTGGGACTAATTATTAGCTCATCTGACGAAGTCAGATGCAGCTTGTAGAATCGCATGATCGTCCGTGCGTGAGTCCGTCAACAGTTGGGCACAAATCTAAACAGCTCGATGTACGGATTTGAAAGTCGGAACGTGGGGGGGGGGTAATCCGAAAACGAGTTGGGATGTCGAAGCTGGGGGGTCAAAGGTCAAAGGTCAAGAGGTGTAAAAGAAAAACAGAAGAACATTCCCTCCTTAACTTAAGGTATAGGGAGGAAATGCAGAATTGCGGCACAAATCTAAACGGCTCGACCTAGGCTTGAGATAGTCGGTGTATAGCATCATGGTAGGAAAAGCCATCACTGTGCCGAAATTGGTGGTCAAAGGTCAATGGGGCACAGGGCAGATTTTAGACATTTTCTGAGGACATGGTCTGACGGAGCGATTGAAAAACTTTTTTGTTTCAGCGGTGACCTAGCATTTTTATGGCTTTATTGAAAGAACCATAAAATGTGCTTTCCACTGACGTGCGAAGAGTAAGTGTCTGATAACCTTTTGACCCTCAAGAGGAGGGTTAAACATGGATTCCTGAACTGCCACAATGATGTCACAGTGTTCTCATATGGCACATCCATAATCTGGAAACCCAATATGTCTCGATGGGCAAACGGCTACAGCACAGGATTATGGCTCAAAGGTTCTTGGATCGAATCCCATCAGATTTTTAGCTCACCTTGACATCGTCAAGCTGAGCTATTGCCATGGGTCGTCGTCCGTCGTACGTCCGTCCGTCCGTCAACATTTCGCTACGGTCAACGATAACTCAGGAACCGTTTGGCCCACATGTTTGAAACTGGGTATAGTTGTTACTGCTATGCTCCCATATTAAACGTCCTATTTTGAAGCACGTCAGTTGATGTACTTTCGAGCCACGGCAATTTTTTGGCAAAAATGGGAATTGCCATTAGTCAATTCAAGTTCAACGGATTTTGCTCATTTTTGGTATGTGAATGAATAAGGGCTAGGGGTTTTGATATTAAAAAAAAAATTATGCAAATTAGGTAGGGTTTGGCAATTACATAGCCTATTATATAGACACAAACAGTCTGTGGTGTCACACTCGTCTGGTTCGTTTTACAAGATTTCATTGACAATATCTTTAATGCTAAATTGGTATTTCCTCTCCACCCTGCCGATAAAACGTCTATATTAGAGTAAAGTTTTACAAAACATGTCGGAACGCAGCATAACCTATTTATTTCAAACGCCATCGCTACAAAGCGGGTATAGTGCCATCTACGGTCACAAATTGTGATTCCTTTTGGTTTATAAATTATTATTGCGATATACAGATGGCAATCGTTTCTATAATGTACGTCGATGGTTGCTCAATTAAAACCTGACTTCTTCTTACTCACTCATTTGTGTCCTTTTTTGTGGTGAGCAACAGTGTCATTGACACTCATTTATTATTTACCTGTTTTCTGTATTTTTCTATCTTTATCCATTTAACTATTTCTTTCCAATTAAGGAAAATATTTACATGATTTATTTACAACAATTTCATAACAACAAATAATTTTTACAATTAATTATATTTTTTTTAAGAGGGTTAGGTTTAGGGTTAAGGCCCGCTTATGTCGGCCTTACGACCTAGTCGCCGACAAGATTGTACGTCAAAAACCGGCCAGATCGCTGATAAAAACATCGGCGACCAAACTCGACATGAGTTCTCTTACGATCGAAAATACGGTCGACTGCAATCGCAGGAATAGAACATGTTCTATTTCTATGCGGCTGTCGGCGACAAATCGGGAGTGGCAGCCAATCACCGCAGCCTGTCGAGTCACATGATTATCAAAAGTCACGTGATTAATAAAATGGCAGCCTACACGCCACTCGTCAGCAGTTTACAAAGAGGGATTATTGCACAAACCCTTTCTCAAATATATATGAAGTTTTCCGTATATCACATAAAAAAATTTCTGCACATGATTATAGCGATGTTCAGAAAATTGAGGATAGATTTACGAAGTTACATGATGTTTACTGGTAAGCGCCATTTTGTTGGTCACGTACGTGACTGGTTTTATGTAGACGGGTCCCGGCATCAAGCTTGCTCTGTTTGTGCTAAAGAACTGCTTGTGCTAGTACAAATACTGGGGCCGCGAACCAGTCTACGTTTCATGCAGGAACGCTACGATCTGATCGGCGATGTGCAGCGTAGTCACTTCAAGTCGACATGAGTGTTGCTACGTTGCTAATCGGCGATAAAGTAGTCGCCGATAGTCAAATCGTAGGCCGACATAAGCGGGCCTTTAGGGTCACAATGCACCATAAAACAGGAGTTTCAGGCAGGCAATTTGTATCAACTAATGGGATTTGGGAGGTATGCAGAATGCAGAGGGTTGCTGAAATGATGTGTACGCAACTGCGTATCTATCTGCATATCCGCGCCTAACAAAGGTGTCACTACGCACGACTTAAATGTTACGTTTATAACCGTAGCAACAGACCTCAGATGAGCCCAGACGCTCTGCGGCTCTTGTTCTGTTTGGTGGGATAGATGAAATGGAGGGAATATGGTGGGATAGATAAATGTCGGCTTTGCAGTTAAAAAGTGGTTGGGAGAATGTGTGTTATAATATGGTTCAATGACAACAGCTAATTCAACAATTGCTCCTCCGATATTTGTTCACCAGACAATTGCTCAACTGACATTGCTTGGCAAAGCGCTACAAAACACCACATTAAAACCTTTATATTTAATATACAGGCTTTTGTTGTTTAAGACTAAGCCACCATATTTAATTTTTTTTTAATGCATTTAATTTTTTCCCCATTAGTGTTGCAAACAATTGTTAGGTGATCTATTGTCTGGTGAGCAATTGTTAAATGAGCTATTGTCAGGTGAATTGTCTGAGCACTGATATATTACCTGTATGGTTAAAAGGGTGTTAAAAGCCATATGATACATTACCATGTGGTTTGAAAGGATAGTCGCCTTGTGATGTTTATCGGCAGTATTTCTCATTTCATATTTGGTAGCAGACAAACCGAAGTCACCGATAAAAAGAGACAGAAATCTCTCTGAGTGTGTATCACAGCAAATGACAAGAACTATGTCTATCATGGATGCAAGTCGTAAAATGGCCACCAAGCAGCAGAATTGGAGCCCTAACAAGCAGGAAAAATTTGTCGGATTAAATCGGTTAAAAGCGCAGATGTCATCTCCAGATAAAGATGATGCTGGTATGAATTCTGGATGAGATGGAGATAATCCATGCCTTCAAGAAAGAATGACTAATGAATTGATGATCCTTGATGATAGGTTTTTTTATTAATAAATAATATTTTATATAAAGTCTCTGATATAACTGATCAATGACATTGGTGTTGTTTTCAGAATTTGCCACTGAAGAAGAACTACAGACATACCTGCTGTCAATGTACAATAAAGCTTTGGTGAACGACAGCGATTGTCCACTTTCCCAACATGCACACGCAATTGTTGCAACTGCTGCAAACTTTATTGAAAGGGGAAAAACATTGGATCAGGAGGTAAATCAGCCCCCCTTACCCCGCCACCTATACCTATACTATAGTAACCTAACCTCAGGTGTGTACGCTCTCTGGAAAGTAATGAAAAGTGGTTTAAGTCCTAAATTGTAGGGTTGAGATAGTGTCATCAGCCATCAGAATATGGCCCACAGTATGCCTCAGATTGCAGAAAAATGGCTTAAATATTTCAAAATTTTCTGGGGCGAATACCCCGCAGATCCCCCTAGCGGTTACGTGCCTATGGCACGCAAGGCTGCCTGCGGCAGCTTAGGTACATTTCGCCCCCCTGTTCATCATTTTCTGGATACGCCACTGCCGCCACCTATATCATGGCCCAAACAGTGAATGTAAATAACTTGCACATAAACGTGTTGCTCACAACATCGCTTTCCATGATTTATTTTTATTATCCAGAGTTGTCTGAAGACGTTGCTCTGTGAAACCATGTTGAAACCAAAGAGTATATTAGTGCAGCAGCCAGGCACTGGGTTGCTGGTGGAGTATAGACTTCAAGCTCTGCTACGTCTTGAGCTTGCTGCTATGAAGGTGGTGCAACCTAGCAGCAAGAGCAATGAAGACACTGATGGTGTGGTCAAAGAGGTAACATTTGTCATTTCAGTTAAAGATACGCTCAAACTTTCGCATGGGTATTGCTCTAATGAAGAGTAAACGTTTGCTGACAAATGAATCTAATCAATCACACGTCTTATTTATAGATGAGATGTACCTCTATGCTCGGGCCCAAAAATTTCATGAAATATCCAGCACCTAATTATGTGACAACACAAGTTTTGAATTTCTCAATTACTACAGAGTATGAATACAAAATGCTTGCCACAAATTAAGCACAATATACACCAAAATTGCGTGTCATGATTTTTCTTTTAAGTTGCATATTTACCACACACACAAATGCCTAAAATGTAAGTTGTGTGTTCAGATTAAAATTTATGCAAATAAAGAATCAGAATTCCTAAAATGATAATCTCAGATGACAGCTGTAGAAGGGTTGATGCTGATGGATTCTGGCATAATGAATACCGTGAATATGCTGGTTGTATCATGTCTCTGACGTCATTAGTGTTTAAAGGGCCACGGCTCACTACACATGTCTGCGGGCAATCAAAACGCTGTGAAAGGTCACATGCATTGTTATATGGATATATGAGCATGTACAGAGGTGGCATTTAGTGTTAGCCATCGAATAAGAATGAGAATGAAAAACAAATGAAATTTCGCATAAAAGCTTGTGTATCCTTAATCTGTTAGTATTGCACTTGTTTCCTGTAACACGTAGAGGTCTAGACCGTAAACGATTATATAGGCATGTCGAATAAAGATGTTTCATCCTGGTAACACAGCTTAGCTTAAAACATTTGTTATTTTAGCAATCCAATGTTGCTTGTTATGTGGACGGTTACACTTGTGCGTGCACCTAGAATTTTAATATTGTGCTATTCTATTTTACTATAGTTTACATCGTTCATCAGAGCATTGTGTTTCTGCAATCCTGACTTCAAGCTTGCCAGTTTTCTGAATGATGAAGTTTTGCCGTGGTATGTATGTCATTTCTGTAAATAGTACATGATTTTATTTTTACATTTTTCAAATGTAGCTAAGCTGTATTATTCCTGTTTAGGTTTATGACAATATTGTATGTAATGTTGTACATTTCTGTTAAATAATTGATTGAAAATGCATGATGTTTGCATGAATAAAATATTGCTTGCAATTAATGTGAACAAACAGTTGATTACTGCTAGCTAGTTAGCATGTTGGAAATTGCTCCAATTTCTTTACCATTAATTGATTTGTTTTCACTCAACAAATGTGACAAATCAAGGCCTTTGTGCAAATCTTTAACTTTTAGAAAGTCACCAGTAACAGAGTTGGAAATGACTCGAAGTGAATTTAAAGCGAGGATTTTCATGTTTTTTTCTAACAGTTTTCATATTTTCCTGACCGTTCTGATACTTACCTTTACTCCTTGCATAACGTCTATGTATATAGTAACTAGTAAGGCTAACATTTCATAGAACACTCGCACATCATTCTTTTCACCAATAATGTGCACCGATCCACATTTTAATTTGTATTTGTTTACACGTCGACAAAACTGTGATTTTCGCTCTCGCGATATGCCATAGACCGGTACCCTGTCTATACCATAGATATCATATAACAAGTTGTTATATGATATCTATGGTCTATACACTAATCTTTGTCTACATTTCGAGATAGGTACCATATGTACAGGTTGAGTATAAATGATTTATTTTCTTTATTTACATAGAAAAGTAGAAATAAGAGTACATGAGATGTTTTATTGAATGCCTTGCAGCTATTTGTCAGCACTACCAGAGCTGTTGGTTGACATTTATGATGACCTTGGGCAGCCACTTCCAAGTCAATTGGCTGAGTATGCTTCACCTAACAAGGTAGTGAATAGTCAGATTGATGACGAGCCGAAGTCGATAACAAGCAGTGTGGATCCACTGTCAGCCAACAGCTTTCACTCTGCCTTTTCATGGGAAAGCCAACCTAGATCAATGCCTACCACAAGGTAGAAATGGTTTTGTTAATTATACATCTAGTAGCCACACTAGTTAATAATTATAAATCACAGAGACTGTGCTAAGTGTCACATTAGAAGAGACGGGTTTTATCCTGTTTTACTTAAACCTGTCATTCTTTGGTAGTGATGACAAACCAAATCCCCTTTTAAGGATACACTCAAGCTTTTGCACGGGCATTGCTTTAATGAAGAGTAAATGTTTATTGACAAATGAATCGATTCAATCGCGTTTTATTTATAGATGTGATGTATCTCTATGCTTCAATACCTATATATAAAGGCAAAGGAGATGCTATGGTATGCGGCAAACACAGAGGAGTGAGGTTATTAGAACATGCAATGAAAATATACGAAAGAGTTTTAGAGAAGAGACTTAGAAAGGAAGTAGACATCGGTAGTTTTCAGTTCGGGTTTTGCCCAGGTAGGTCCACTACAGGGGCTATATTTGTTTTGAGACAACTGCAAGAGAAATATAACCAAAAGAAAAAGAAGCTGTACCACATTTTTGTGGATTTGGAGAAGGCATTTGATCGAGTACCAAGAGAAGTTATAAGGTGGGCCTTAAGAAGGAAAAAAGTACCTGAAAGGATGATAACAGCGATGATGTCAATGTATGTGGGAACCAGATCAAGGGTTAGAACGACAGCAGGGACGTCAGAGGAGTTTGACATTGGAGTAGGGGTACATCAAGGCTCGGTATTAAGTCCCTTACT